ATCTTGGGCGTCTGGGAGCGCTCGTTTGGCGTCTCGGGCCCCTCGTGGGCCGTCTTGGAGGTCTCTTGGAGCCTTCTGGGCCTGTCTTGATCCCCTTTTGGGCCCGAAAGAGCCCCGTGGCGCGCTTGTGCTGGGCCCGGGGGGGGGGGGGTCAAATCTCCGGTTTGGGGTCCCTGGGGGGGGGATTATGGGGGGGGGAACTATCTCACACGCCTAGAGTATATATAGATAATATTTGATTATCATTGACTGTTTGTTTGGCTCGTTATTTTTGTTTCTTCGTCCAGGATCCACCTGTAGGGGGAGGCGCCCGACCTAACTCTGGCCTGGTAGGCAGTCCCTCGTTGGTGGTCGCCCAGCCTTGCCAGCCTCTGGTCGTTCGCCAGACCTCATCTCGTGTCGTGGGCGTCAAACCTCCATATCCGCGGCGTCGAGGCTGGGCCTCTGGGCCGCGACTCCGCGGATGCGGGGCGCTTCTTCGCGGATGCTTTGCGCGGAACGCGCGCGTGCGACCGCGCATCCGCGGGATCGCGGCCGGGGCTCCAGACCGCGAAGGCGTGGATGCGGATGTGTTCGGCGCTCGTGATCGTTCGCTCGCCTGGCGGTTCCACACTCCTGGCGCTGGCCAGGCTGGTCGTGGCCACGCATGTCTGCACCTGGGCAGTGCGAATTTCGCTTACGGGCCCTGTGCCGACATGTACGAAACCGCTCGGAGTGACCCCAGCTCGCTGGAATTATTACCGAGCTTTGTGCCACCTGGGACTCCCAATTGGGCTCCACGTAGATGGTGTCGAAGGATCGCGTTGCGTCGCCGATGCATTGGCGATGCGGCGCGATTGAGGCCCCGATGTTCTTTATACCGACGTCGCCGCTGCGGCGCCGACGTCTCCGATGCATCGCCGATGCGGCGCGATCTTTCGACCCCACCCACTCGGACCTCATTGGGAGGCCTCTAGTTCCACTTGCACCACTCGTTCGAGTCTGGTCCGCATCGCGCCACCCGAAAACGTGCACGGTGTGAGTTGGCCTCCCTCCCCACACCTCCCCTCCGCGGCCGTCCTGCTTTTCCGCTTCTCTTGCAGTGCTTAGTTCGCCGCTCAGCGCCCCTTGGCTGCTTGACTGGCCTGCGCGCCCGCCGGGTCCGCGACAAAAGTGTTCGATCGTGGATGGCGCGAGCTTCTTTTCATCCCTCGACCGTGGTTTCTGGCTCTACGTGCTCGTGAGTGGCGTCGTGCTGTCCCTCAATATCGTGTCCGCGGTGAGCCTGTCGATGGCCTGTTTAGGACGAAAACAAGGAGGAGGAACATGAGGAAGATGAGGAGGAAACGGATGCTGATGATGCTGATGCTGCTGCTGATGATGATGCTGATGATGATTATGCTGCTGATGATGGTGACGACGGTGATGATGCTGATGATGATGTTGAAGATGATGATGCTGATGATGATGATGCTGATGATGATGAGGATGATGACGATGATGACGATGCTGATGCTGATGATAATGATAATGATGATGATGATGATGATGATGATGATGATGATGATGATGATGATGGTGGTGGTGGTGGTGGTGATGATGATGCTACTGCTGATGATGATGCTGATGCTGATGCTGATGCTGATGATGATGTTGATGATGATGCTGCTGCTGATGATGATGATGATGATGATGAGGAGGAGGAGGAGGAGGAGAGGAGGAGGAGGAGGAGGAGGAGGAGGAGGCGGAGGCGGAGGCGGAGGCGGAGGCGGAGGAGGAGGAGGAGGAGGAGGAGGAGGAGGAAGAATAAGAAGAAGAAGAAGAAGAATAATAATAATCAGAAGAAGAAGCAGAAGACGAATACGAATAATAATAATAATAATAAGAATATTAAGAATAATAAGAAGAATAATAATAATACTAAGAAGAAGAAGAATAAGAAGAATAAGAAGAATAATCATAATAATAATACGAATAAGAAGAATAACAAGACGAATAAGAAGAAGACGAATAATATTAATAATAATATTAAGAATAATAATACGAATAATAAGAAGAAGAGTAAGACTAATAATTATAATAAGAATAATAAGAATAATAAGAAGAATAATAAGAATAATAAGCATAATACGAATACTAATAATAAGAATAATAATAATAAGAATAAGAAGAAGAATAAGAATAATAATAATAATAAGAATAAGAATAAGAATAATAATACAAAGAAGAAGAATAATAAGAAGAATAATAATAAGAAGAATAAGAAAATTAATAAGGAGAAGCAACATAATAATAAGAAGAAGAATATTAATAATAATAATAAGAAGAAGAATAATAATAATAAGAAGAAGACGAATAATAATAATACTAATAATAATACTAATAATAATAATAATAATAAGAAGAAGAAGAATAATAATAAGAATAATAATAATAATAACAAGAATAATAAGAAGAATAATACTACTACGAAGAATAAGAAGACAAATAAGAAGAATAAGAAGAAGAAAACTAAGAATAAGAAGAAGAAGAAGAATAAGAATAATAAGAATAATAATAATAAGAAGAAGAATCATAATAATAAGAATAAGAAGAATAAGAAGAAGAAGAAGAAGAAGAAGAATAATAAGAATAATAAGAATAAGAATAATAATAATAATAATAAGAAGAATAAGAAGAGGAGGAGGAGGAGGAGGTTGAGGAGGGGGAGGAGGAGGTGGAGGAGGAGGAGGTGGAGGAGGAGGAGGAGGAGGAGGCGGAGGAGGAGGAGGAGGAGGAGGAGGAGGAGGAGGAGGAGGAGCCCCCCCGGCGGTCAGCAAACGAGGAGGAGGAAATCAAGGAGGACGAGGCGGAGGAGGAGGAGGCGGAGTAGGAAGAGGAGGAGGAGGAGGATAGAGGAGGAAGAGGAGGAGGAGGAGGAGGAGGAGGAGGAGGAGGAGGAGGAGGAGGAGGAGGAAGAGGACGAGGAGGAGGCGGAGGAGGAGGAGGATGAGGAGGAGCCCCCCGGCGCGTCAGCAAAACGAGGAGGAGGAAATCAAGGAGGACGAGGCGGAGGAGGAGGATAAGGAGGAGGAGGAGGAGGACGAGGCGGAGGAGGAGGAGGAGGAAGAGGACGAGGAAGGAGGAGGAGGAGGAGGAGGAGGAGGAGGAGGAGGAGGAGGAGGAGGAGGAGGAGGAGGAGGAGGAGGAGGAGGAGGAGGGGGAGGAGTACTGAAGAAGCTCGGGCTGCGTCGCCCCCTAGCGTCATGGGCGGCTCTCCGCTCGCCCGTGCGTGGCGTGCTCAAGCTCACGGCACGGGCCCCCTTTGCCTTGGCGAGGCCTGCAGTGCTGGCTCGGTGCACGGCCGCTGCCGCTCCGCCGTTGGCCTCTCGGCTCCTGCTACCCCCTCTGATGTGCGCTTGCTCGCTCGCCCGCCGACCAGGGCTTCTGGCTCAGAGGACTCATGCCAGCGCCTTGGACGGCAGTGCCAGCTCCCAGCGAGATCGACGCCTGGGTCGGCACGGAGCAGCTGGACCGGGAGCTGATCACCGAGGGTTGCGTCGCTGGCGGCTCGGAGCAGGCTCCTCTTTTCGCCTTTGGCGACGCGAGCGGAGGGCCTGACACCAGCAGCCCGCTCTTCCGACGCGTTGGCGTTGGAGTTGTTTTCATGCGGGCTCTCGAGCCTGAGCTGCAGCTTGCGTCGACTGTGCGCGGCCCTCTTTCAGGGCCTAAGCAGATTGTTGCTCGAGGTGAGCTGCGAGCTTTGCTTTTAGCCGTGTGGTTGACCACTGGAGCCATGGCGTGCATTTCAGATTGCGAACCAGTCGTTTCAGGTTTTTATAGCCGCAAGTTCGAAGAGCCCACAGGTGAGGATGCTGACCTGTGGGCACACCTGGGGCTCGTGCTGAGGAAAAGGTCGCACGATGCCATCACTGTTCTCTTTGTGAACTCTCACCTGTCTGCCACTGACATCGTGGAGGGGAGAGCCCCGCGGTGGATGGTGGCGGGCAACTTGATTGTCGATGAGATCGCTGGGCAGGCGGCCAGCGAAGCCCGCCTCCCAGAGGCAGTCCGCCAGCAGGTTCTGTTGCGGGAGAGAGCGGCCCGTCTTGTCAGGATGCGAATTCTTCTGGCCACTCTTGATTCCATGGCGGCTGAAGACAAGGATAGGAGTGGTGTTGCGGAGGATCAGGGACCTGCCATCCCTGCCCCCCCTCCGCCCCCTGCTGCTGCCTCTCTCGCCCTTCTTGTTTCGTCTCATTCAGTGGACAGCATAGGGTGTAGATGCACCAGGTGTGGAGGCTCGGCTTTGAAGGCGACGCGGACAGCCTGGCTGAGGACCCAGTGCCTCCATCCGATTAATTATAATGGTGTCATTTTTTGGAAGCCTGAAGGAGCTATGTTGCACATTGCAGGTGGGTATGTCCACCCCAGTCTCATAATGCAGTTTCATGGTGATTTGAAGTTGTGGTACTGAATCAGTTGCGGTAGCTATGGATCCCTGCAGCTCTTGGCTCTGGGGGCGTGAGTGCGCGACACCTCCCACTCCCTGCAGGGCTGAGTATTTGAGGCTAATCTCCCAGGCCTCGTGGCCAAAGGTCTTGAGCAAAGTCGAAAATGCCACCAGGAGTAATCGCAGGGTTTAAGCATTGTGGTGGATTGATTGACTTAGTCATATGGTCATGCTCATGCTCATGCTCCTCCTCCTCCTCCTCCTCCTCCTCTTCCTCCTCCTCTTCCTCCTCCTCCTCCTCCTCCTCCTCCTCCTCCTCCTCCTCCTCCTCCCTGCCCTCTCCATCAGAGGCGTGCTGTCGCGATGCCACAGCCGAGCCGACAAGATCCCTCCTCACTCCCTGCCCCCCCTCGCCATCGGTATGCGCGCGTCGACGGCGGCAGCGGCGGCGGCGGCGGTGGCCACGACGACGGCTCCGACGACGACCGCGGCGACGACCATGGCGACGATTCCGACGACCACAGCGACGACCATGGCGACGACCGGGACGACGGCGTGCCGCGGCGGCGAAGACCGGCCACCTGCGCAGGCGGCGCCCGCGCCGCACCCCGCCGCCGACCGCCGCGCCGACCGCGAGCACCGCGCCCCGACGCCCCCGAGGGACGGCCGCGCCGCCGACCGCGCCGCGGGGCTGCCACGGCCGCAGCCGAGCAGGGCGCCGGTGGCGCCCCGGGCGGGCTGGGCGGCCGCGTTGCCGCCGCTGACGCCACCGGCGTAGCCAACGCTGTCGCCGCTGGCGGTGCCGGCGGTAGAGAGTGGGCGTTGGCGGCGGTGGTGGCAGCGGCGGCGGTCGGCGGCGGCGTCGGCGATGCCGGCGGCCTTGGCGGCTGCGGCGGTGGCGGCGGTGGCGACGGAGACGCCGTGGTCCTTATTGTCCAGCTTGTCGTTCCCGTCGCCGGCGCCCGGGGAGGAGGAGGGGGGGGTGGGAGGGTGGAGGGGGGAGGAGGAGGAAAGGAGGGAGGAGGAAGGAGGAAATGGAGAATTCGGATTGCTGTTCAGCTGCGTCCAGCAATTCCGCCATCGTGCCAGCACAGGATGCTTGGTGGTAACTACTCGAGAAGTCAAGGGGGTCTGCTGGGGGCATCTTGAGGCAGAAGGCTCGAATTCTGGGTTCGTGTTCCCATTCTTGGGCCATTCCTGGGGCTGTCTTGGGGTGGGGCCCTCTTGGGCCGCGTGGGCGCCTCTTGGGCCGTCGTGGAGGCCTCTTGGGCCGTTTTGGAGCTTTCTTGGGGGCCTCTTGAGGTGTCTCGGGGGAGTCTTGGGAGCCTCTTGGGCCGTCTTGGAGCGTCGGAAGCTCGAAAAGGCGAGAACCCCCAAACCATCGAACACCCTAAGGAAGATCAATGGTTTTTGCCTCTCGGGGCCCTCGAGGGGGCATCTTGGGGGCCACTTTTGGCCCTCTTGGGGCCTCCTGGGCCCTCTTGGGGCGGAAGGCTGGAATTGTCGGTTCGCGTTCACCATTTAGGGCCCTTCTTGGAGCCGTCTTGGGGCCCTCTTGGGCATTCTGGGGCGCCTCTTGGGCAGTCTTGGAGGCTTCTTGGGTCGTCTTGGGGCCCTCTTGGGGACCTCTTGGGCCGTCTTGGGGCAGTCCTGGTGGCCTCTTCGGTCGTCTGGGGAAGTCGGCACGCAAAGGCGAGAATCCGAAAAACATATGAAAAAACCGATCAATCATCAACGGTTTTTGCTTCTCGAGGCCCTCTTGGGAAGGCACTTGGGGCTGTCTTGGGACGCCTCGATGGCCTCGTGGGCCGTCTTGGGCCGTCTTGAGGCCAACGTGGTCCGTCTTGGAGCCAAATGGTGCCGTCTTGGAGGCATCTGGGCCTCGGGAGTGCGAGTCCGTTGTATTTTGCGAGGGGTTATGGCCTCGGGAAGAAGGGGCGATGCACGCAGCGAGGTGCGACCGGGAGAGGGGGGGAGGGCTTCAGAGAACTACAGAAACCCGGCTAGACAGACCTTGGCATCCTTTGGCGCATCAACGTGCACAAGGCACGTTGGCGGAAATGTAATTGAAGACATGGCTGCCAGCGTGGATCCCCAACAGTAAGATGCTGCACTGTGGATGTGTAAGCTATGTGGTATGATCTAGGATGTGTGATTTATGTGGTGTTAGCTGTCTGATGTTAGCTATGTGGCGCTCTCTAGGTGGTGCGCTCTCTGTGGTGTGAACTATCATTTGTAAGCTATGTGGTGCAGTCTATGTGGTACAATTTGTGTGTTGTTAGCTACGTGGTGCACAATAGGTGGGGTAATCTTGTGGGTGCGAGCCATGTGGTGTAAGCTATGGGGTGTAATCCACTTTGACCGTCTTGAAGCTGTCCTCTCCACTGCTCGCGCAAACATCCCACCCACCCACCCGCAACTTGGTTTGCAAAACCGCTTCAGACCGACTACGACGACACCGACGACAACGACTAGGACGACACCGACGACGTCTCCGACGACTTCGACGACGACAACGACGCCGACGCCGACGACGACGAAGACGACGACGACGCCAACGAAGGCGACGACGAGGGAGGAGGAAGGACGACGACGGCGACAACGACGACAACGACGACAACGACGAGGGAGGTGGTTTAAGCTATGGGGTGTAATCCACCTTGCAGAACTTGATGTCGTCAACTCCACTGCTCGCGCAATCATCCCACACTCCTACCCGCAACTTGTTGTGCACAACCCATGCGGCCGCGATTGTGGGGACTGCTTGGCACTGTCTGGCGCATCTCCGCGGCTGCGCGCGGCTGCGCTAGCGCGCGCAAGCTCGCGCGCAAAGCGACCAGCTGGTCTGGCACAACGGGTGCGGCCGCGATGGCGCTTGCCGATGGGAACTTCCCAGCGCGTCTCAAAGCCCGTGCGGATCGGTGACTTGGGCGGGCGCGGTATCATGATGGCTTCGGCAAGGGCGGCAACGGTGATCATAGTAGCGATGGTGGTGGCGATGATGACGATGACGATGCCGAGGCCAATGGCGGTGCCAATGCTGGTGACGATGGTGACGATGATAATGTCCAAGTGTCTGTGATGAAGGTGATCGACTGATGATGGCGACAATGGCGGCGAATGGCGGTGACGATGACAGCGGTGATGCGGCGGCGCTGATGAGGGTGATGGCGAAGAAGTGCGCGCGCGGAAATGCAATGAGCCTGGCCGACGTACTGTTGACAGTCTTTTGGTTTCCAAATGATTATGAAAGCTCTATCTTTCATTGCGTCGAAAAGCGTAAGTTTTGGACCGACACGCGCGCGTGGCGGCGCGCGCGTGTGGCTTGCGTCGTGTCATTTGTTTCGGATTCGTGCGCTCGGGGCATGCTGATCAATCGCGGATGCACCGCGTGGTGAGATGAGAATTCGGTATTCCGCCTAGATCGCTAAACTCATAGGTTTGCCCTATGAGTTCAGCAAGTGCGCGCGGGTCAACCATCCGCAATCTTTGGCATGAAACAACCTGAAGACATGTGATGTTTTTATTTTGCTCTGTTTGCAGAACTTGTCCGTTTGGTCTGATTTCGACATGTGCGAAAATCGTGCCGTTTTTGGCAAAACAGATTTTTGAACAATGATTTTTTGAGATAAACGAGTGTGCGTGCATATTGTGATTTGACAGGGATGATGGGTGTGTGTGGTCGATACCGGCCCGCCTGGGATGGTATGAACTCACATGCAGCATGAACGATGAGGCATTGCCTCAGAAGATCAATGGTGTAATGTATGCTGTGCATTCCACGTGGTGTTCGCTATGAGCTGCAAGTTACGCGGTGCAATCCATGTGGTGTGAGCTCTTATGTGTGAGCTATGTGGTGGTATGAGCTATGTGGTTCAAGTTATGTGGTGCCAGCTGTGTGGTATGAGTTGTGTAGTGTACGCAAGGTGCGCCCGAGAAACGCCCACCCGCGGCAACGTGGCGAAACCCCAGCGGACCCACCCAGCGCACGGAGCGGTCACGAGGCGTCTTCGTGCGGCAACGTGGGAGACTCTTATATGCTCTGGCCCCTGTCTTTTCTTTTCTTTCACTCCTCTCCTCCTTTCGGGTTGGACGAAAGGAGGTGGTAGGGAAAGGGGGGGCTGCGCAATCTGCTGCCTGCAGCTGGTTTCTGCCCCTGCGCCAGGTGCTTTCCTCGATGCATCGGCGCCTCCAGCGCCAGGACATGCCGGGAACATCAGCCGAGTGAGTTGATCCGCTAACCCCCCGTTGATACCCACCCCTTCCGTCCAACCCAACTTTCTCCCCGTCGCTTCCTTTCTCCTTCCGTCTCCTTCTCAGCGGACCTGTCTTTCGTCGGAGCTCCCCTCGGAGTCGTCTCGGAGGCGCTCTGAGGGCGACCCCTCGGTCGGCCTTGCCCCCGCGCCGCTGCGGGGAGGTCGCGTCCCGTCTCTGCTCCGCGTGAGCTTGGAAGTGTGGCCGTCGTCGACTTCCTGGCCGTTGTGTATTTTTGGTGCCCGCAAGAGGGTGGCGCGAGGGGTGGCGAGATCGTGAAGCCCGCTCAACAGGAGGAGGAGGAGGAGGAAGAGGAGGAGGAGGAGGGTGAGGAGGAGGAGGAGGATGAGGATGAGGATGAGGAGGAGGCGG